AATTCCTTTTTTTTGTAGCAAAAAAATTATCTTCCCACATTCAAATTATGTATTGCGTAATGCTTCCCTTTGATAAAAGAAAATGGGTGGAGAATAAAATCGACAGCTTAAATATGAATTCTAACCGATTAATAAGGAACGCTGGTTGGTTCGTTCATTTAATTGGTTCTTCTTTACCGATTTAGCACACATATAGAATTACATCATGCTTTTCGAGTACGACTCGCAATTTATGCTCATGATGTGATGCAGAATGATCATAGATGGAATCTTGTGTTGTTAAAGCAACCGTAGCACGAGAGATTTTTTTCGTCGCGAGACAGACAAAGCTTTAAGTAAAATCGGCAAGATTGTCTTGTTTGTTATTACATCACACAAGTTTATTTGTCTTATTATTCAAGAACTTGCATATTGGTTCTTTGTTCTCTAAAAAGTTGTTATAAAAACGGTATCTCTCGGGAATATTGTTGGTTTAAACTATTGTTATTAATTATCAACTATTATTTATCTACTTATCATTATTATTTATATTATTGTTATTATTATTATTATTATTATTATTATTATTATTATTATTATTATTATTATCATTATCATTATCATTATCATTATTATTATTATTATTATTATTATTATTATTATTATTATTATTATTATTATTATTATTATTATTATTATTATTATGATTATTATAATTTTTTATGGGATGCATTCTGTCAAGATTTTTCTATAAGAACTACACGTTTTTTCGAGTTATTGAATCGTTTTGTTCGTTTGATGAAGGTAAATGGTTGGCACAAAAAAACGAGAGTAAAATTAATTGGCTTTTTTTTACATATTTGTTAAAACTTTGTAAAGATGATTTATTTATATTATACTCCGACATTGTTTGAAAAATTAAAAGGAGTAAAAGTGAAAAATTTTCTACGACAAAGAGATTTCATTCAATTAAATAGATATCGGAGTTTTGTCATCTTTTTCCCGGACATGTTTGAAACTATTAATTCATTCCTTCTGTACAGAAGAAATAAACAAAAATGCACCTGTATTATATGTAAGAACGAGTATGACGTGAAGTTGACAAGTAATTGAAATCATTCAATGGTAAATTTAGCAGTCAGATAATTTAGAGTCTGTGAATCAATTTGATAATAATAAGAAAAACAATTAACAATTTTCCATTGAAACGCATACACGCGCGTCTTTCACGTTCTTATTTCTCGTCCTCTTATTGCAGGGTTGATGTTTTTTTGTGAAACCTGATGACCATGTGTTTATTGATCCTATTTATTTTCTTTACCATATTACGTTAATGCAGGACATGATATATATAAAATAATAAATAATACGTGTGGGGGAAACGCCATTTTCTTTTATAAATGTTGTGCGGCATAATATATAAAATATGACTTATGAACCAAGCAAAAAAAAACTGTGAGGTCGCGTGAGGTTCTTACAACAGATTTGTTTAGCTATCTGACCATACTTCACTTTTTCACTCGAATATGTGCGCGAATGCGGGCTATGATTTTTTGAATAGAACTTGGTATTTCAGGACGTAAAAACTTCTTCATGAGGAGAGATCCGAGCCCTTGCATCAATGAAGAAAGCAAGGGAACTTAATCACGCTGAAAATCAACAACATAAATGATATTAGATTTTAAGAGCAATTTATTGGTTTCTCCTGTTTTTGATAATTTATATTGGATTTTTTGAGACAAAGAAAAGTCTAATTTTTTGTCATCAAATAAGATTTGATGGGTGAATGAGGAATGAATGAATGGGTAATAAATTTTTGGAAAAAATGAGTCCTTTGCATATTTATTCAAAAATCAATTAATATTAATATTAATATTATTATTATTGTTGCTATTATATCATTTTGTGGACAGTTTTCCTGCATTATTTTGCTGATCAGATGTATTATTTATTTATTAAAAATGCGTCCAGGTTTGGAAACCACGATCATAGATAATAAATATGCAAGGTCACTCAATATAACAATTTATATTAAATCACACTTAATTTACAATATGTTTTATATATTGACCTGATTTGTTACGTTAGTTCAATTTTTTTTTATCACTGATTTCTTGATTTTAATCAATCAAATTGTTTGTTTTAGATGTGAGAAATTAGATGAAAAAAAGTCAAAAGAAAGTTGTTATTTCCCACGCATTATAATCGTCATTATGAATTATGAAAAAATATAGTCATCCCAACATTACATCACACACATTAGTGATTTAGTGATGTTAAATAATGTAAATTCTCTTCTCCACTGACGATGTAAAGAATTTATCACCGAGGATTTGTCCCGAAATTCATCTTTTTTTAGTATGTGAAAAACGATTTCCGATTCACACGACATCACATACCATCTCTTAATATTCCCAAAGAATTTTTGGGGTCACTTGATTATACGGTGGAAGGGGAGGGAACATCTAGCAAACCCTATTTCAATCCGCATTGTCTATCAATTACCCAGCTTCACCTTTACCCCAAAAGTGTTATCGATGGATTTCTTGTTAACGAAAACAATAGAGAAAAAAAGAAGGGAATCAGCACCATTCATCGCTTTAATGCCATTTCGTACGTTTGATTCATAATCGAATAAATGAAGATTGTATGCGCGTCTATTATTATTATTTACTATTTATCTTTTATTTTTAATAGTTTTCGTTGAAAATTTTTTTTTCTTTTTTTTTTTCTCGAATAACGATTGCTTATAAATTAGTCAGATAGAGTGCCGAGACGGAACCCATATTTACCTAATCATAGATAGATACTGTTGCGACATCTTTTCGTGTCACCCCTCGTGAGGTCAATAAATTTCTCTCAGAATAACTTTATTAGCTAGTTATTTACTAAAGTAAGAAAAAAAAAGCAGCAAATCAAATATTATTTACAATTTTAAGCTATGAAATAACTAATATTATTTGTTAATACTATGAAACATGCCAATAAGAATAATATTAGTTGCATAACAAAAAACTTTAAAGTGAACACGTTTTTTTTTTCGCCATATTACCTTGACTTTACCACGCACGCGCACACACACGAACATGTATGTGTGTGTGTATATATAACAATTTTTTCTACATAATACGTAGATGAGGTTGCACAAAATTTTATTAACATAATTTGTAACCAACACAAGATGATAAATAACAAGTTATCTTCTGGAAATTTAACGAACTCCTCAATAATGGATGGTTCTCGTTTGTTTACATCCATTTATGCGTCAGCGAACAAAGAATTCGGGTGTATGCAAATAATCATTGTTAAATTATTGGAATTATTGAGAAAAAAATTTTCGTATTCCAACATGATGACGGATTTTGTGTTATATGGAGGAAGCGAGGATCGTAAAATCGAAGGGAAAACGTGTTCAATATTAATATAAATGTGCATGTATTCTCGAATGAATTTTTTACCTTTGGGAGGATGTTGCATGATTGAGGTAATGAGGTATCTATCGTTATTATTATTTTTCTTTAACAAAGAATGAAACCTGAAATTAAATTTTTTTGTTTCATAATTTTGGCTCGAGAGGTTATAATTTTCATCTATTAAATCAACTACTATCGTGTTATATTATATTCGAGATTTTCCGTGTGCGTAGTAGATTCTAGATGGCAAGATGATGACGGTGATGGAAATATAGCCGACTATCCGATTATTCATTGGTTTTAAAAATTTTAATTAAAAAAAAAATAAGTTTTTTACCCGCTTAATATTTATCATTATTTATTATGTACCTTACCTGACCTAACCATGAACCGTTTTGTCTGTGTAACATTCTGTGTTCTAATAAATAATAACTACAATGATATCATAGAAAACTATTGTAGTTTTCTATCTCACACACACACACGCACACACACAATACTCACTATTATACATACATATATTTTTCATTTGATTTATTATTTGGTCCATAGATTTTATCTTAATATAAATTATAAATTATAATAATAAACATAAATTGTGTTCAGATATACATATATATAATGCGACAGTCCCCTTTTTCACAGCCAAACTAAAACTAAACAGTAGCAAGCAAGCAAGCAGCAGCAAGTACTGGTTCTTAGCAGCACAGTAGCAAAACAAAAATAATAAAATAACAATAACATTAGATTGGGATTGAACGTGAGCAAGAATTTTAGAGAAACGAAATCAAAAAGAAACAAAATCCCAAAGAAACCAAGCTGTAAAAGATCATCCAAAGAAACCATAATACATAGCTGCTCAAAGAAAGATTTACTTCGCACAGTGTCGTCGTCGTTCATCATCAATCAATCAAACATCACTCACTCATCTATTAATTCTGAAGAATTGACAGAAATCAGTGACGTAACACCGAGTTCTGCACATATTAGCACATAACGATTTCTCTCATACGACATACTAAAAATAAAAATTAATATAAATTAAATAACAACAATAATATATATTATCTAATATACAACACACACACACACACACATATATATATATTATTACTATATACTATTTATAAAAGGAGACTTTCCATTTTTTTTTAAATTCGCTCCCATCATTTTATTACAACAACCAAAAAAAAGAAAAAAAATTTCTTCTCCTCTTCTTCGACAACGAACGAAAAAAATCTGCTTTTTTGTTACGTCTACCTTCAACGTTATATTTATTCTATAACATAGTATTCTCTAGTTCTATAAATATACATATATAAAAAAAATGATATATATATGTATATAAATAGAGATATATAACAAAACAAAAATTCCCTTTTCTTCTTAAAAAAAGTATCGTCATCGTAAAATAGTTAAATACACTTGATTGAAAAAGTCTCAGTTTTTTAGTAAGAAAAAAAAATATCACAAGTTTTCCTTTACTTCGTTATTTCTTTATTATTATAACACGCGACAAAAAAATTCCACACACACACTTAACAACAACTTTTCTTTTTACAAAGTACGCAAAATCTTTTCTCCCTGTATTCTTAAACTTTTTTGATAATGACAGCACTAACAAACAATAATTACTTGATGTTGCCATCGATGTATATTGGTGGTTCGGACTCTCTCGAAAGTTTGAATTGTGCATTGAACACCAGTAGTCACTATGACCCTGCAGAAATGAGTGAAACTACAACATACATCAAATCAGAATTTCCCCCTTATTACAATAGCAGCAGCAATAACAGCAACAATTGCAGTCTCGCTAATCAGAAACCTCAGCTCTTAGTTGACACAGCAGGCGATGAGAATTGTTGCTCGATTTCTTTGCCTTCGCTTACCTCTTCTGGCCAATCTTCTCCACAACAGATTCCGACCTTAATTTACTCGCAACAGATCCCGTTTGCCGAATTTAATAGAAATGCGAATAACCATCATGATGATGACAATAACAATGGTGGAAATAATGGCAATAATATTCACGTTAAAACTGAGGAATTTCAATTGGATCAATTTGCTGTAGACTCAGTCTCAAGCTGTGGATCATCTCCGATCAACGTCTCCTTTAATGATTATGATATACCTCAGATGATCCAACAACAACAGCAACAACAATCGTCATCGCAACACCAACAACTTACATATTTTCATAATCAAACTCCTCAGCAGGTATGCGAAAATGACGATACTACAAGTGAAAGTAGTTATGGTGCTCAAACATCTCCGATATTGGGTGAAGAACTCTTTTTATCCGAGAATTATCTCTACTTATGCCCGAGACCTGGGAGCAATAACAATAGTAACGTGAATCACAATCAAAACAGTAGCTCGAATACATTGAATCATCAAGAACAAATGAGATTCATCATTTATGAACCGGTGAATGAAGGTTCTACCCTAGTCCCCACAATTAATTCTCATCCTCATCACCATCATCATAATAATGGGCCATCCGCTGCTTTATGGTCTGCTGCTTCATTCTCACCCGTTGCTGCAGGACACAATAATCACAATCACAATAATGGAAATTGCTCAAATACTAATGGTGGACAATCTTCAATTTCATTAAATTTCGATTATTTACCATCACCACAACACCAACAAAATAACATTTTACCAGCAGGCACCTCATTAAATCCTCCACAAATTCAACAAATTACGCAACAAGCACCGCTTCTTCATCATCACCCTCATATAGTACGAAACAACACTACTAATAACAATAACACTAATAATAATTCGCCAAGTCAAGTTAATAATCCGCCACCGCCACCAACACCACAACAACAACAACAAATAAAATGTCCGCATGAAGATTGCCCAAAAACCTTTAGTCGATTATACAATCTGAAAGCGCATTTACGATCACATTCTCCTGCGCGTCCTTATCCTTGTCCGATGTGTCCACGATCATTCTCCCGTAAGCATGATCTTCAACGACACATCCGAGTACATACAGGTTAGCATCCTAAATTTATTTTTTTTTTATTTGATTTCTTGCACCACCATATCTCTCTATCAGAACCATATAGAATTAACGTTATCATTTAATCTTCAGGTGTCAAACCTTATCAATGCCCATGCTGCCGTAAAGCTTTTGCTCGCACTGATGCACTACGTCGCCATTTCAAAGTGGAAGTGACATGTGGACAGAGCGAAGCTGTACAAAATATGAAGACACGCAGAAGATATTCTGAGATGCAATAATAGACTATTAAGATATTTTTTCCTGACAATATTTACTATTTTACCATAAATATTACTTAATAACTTAGAGAAGCGCTACGCGTTGATTTATAATATTTTTCATTGTTTTGAACTTATTAAAATATAATTAGGTTTTTTTTTCCGCAAAAATCACTGTTATCGCCTTTTTAGACTTTTAATCACATTTTTCACACAAACGAAATACAATTTCGTTTCGATTTTTCCTTTTTCTGTAAATTTTTTTATTCGCAACATTTTTTCTTTAAAGAAAACATACACTTATACATTTTTATACACAATCATTTTCTTTTTCGTTTAATACACATATACATCATTTTACATATACATTATATGAACAATTAATCATCTAAGTTTTCATAAAACGGTGTTAAATTTTAATCATAATTCTCATACACGCATTTTCATCCTTTTTTTTGTACATACAAGTAGACGACAAGATTTAATCATATAAGGCGATAAAGTTTTTCTCATATGTTTGATGATAGGATAGGTTTAATTACTACTGTTTGTTTTTTTACTACTGCATTTTTCTTCATTACTACTGCATTTTTTTTTTACTTTCGCATTCAAAAATCACATTACACACAAACATTCGCATTCTTTTCTGTACCTTTCTTCAATTCGTTCATGTTCATGTTCTGTTTCTGATCTCTCGTGTTACGAAATCGCGTCGTGGTGAATACACGCGTAGGTGTTTATTCACTCATTACGCGCATCCGTGAATAAAATAGTTCTGATAAAGACAAAAATACAATATAATTGCTTTTTTTGGGTGGGATGGGATGAAATTAGACTAGGGAAAAAAAGTGTAAAGTGACGCGTCATCAATGCGTGTTTGATCCGTAACAAAAAAACAAGCTTGCAGAATATGTATATTTTTCCCCACTCGTTTTTCTCATAACTAGATTTTACGGTTTCTATGAATGACGTCATCCGTGTGTCGAAAAGAAGGGTCGAGCGTGGGATAATTTCTTTCTGTTGTTGTGTTACAATTTGATCATTGAATAAGACAGATTGATTACATTATTTGTAATTGTTTGTCCTACTTTTGTTGTTCTCAATCAGAAGATTGATTAAATTATGAAACTTAAACCTTTGGTTTGGTTTTTTTCGATAATAATGGACATTTTTCTTTATTGTGCACAACGCATCTTGCATTACCTACTTGTGTGTACTCTAGTTCTTGTGTGTGTATTCTAGTTGTTGTGTGTATGTCACAAGATAAAGTTATCAGTTGCTGATTTAATTAATTACTGTTCTAATCAGTAATTTATTTGTGAATGTGGTTAGTCAGATGCATAGAAAATAAGATAATATTATCGTACCTAGATTTTTTTCTGTTTAGTTTTAGCTTTTTTCCATACAAATCACACCATGTTAGTAAGGTTTTTTTTTTCTTGATTGATAAGATTATATTTGTCGTTATACGGCCTAATGCGGAAAATTTGTGAAACCGAGAAAAGCAATGTAACGACGATTCTACTTGCTTTTAGATACGCTGTGTCAGGATGGCATTAACTTATTTCCCTTTGAGATATATGTTATCTTTGTTTTATCACAGATTAGACTTGGTGCACATTTATTTGTGCATGTTACCTTTTTTGCTACCGAATGTCAAATCTAAATGATATTTAACAAAACGGATGTATGGTAATACTCGCGTATGTATGCAGAATGCGTCCTATTGTTTCGGGATTTGAGAAACTAAACTATCGAAAAAAATAATATAAAGAAACAAGATACATACATTCAGTTGTACGTATACATACACACATACATACATACATACATACATACATACATATGTACATACGACATATATGTTCTATGATTAAAATTTCTAATTCTTTTTTGTTTCCGCATTTAGAAAATAATTGAACATACAACTGGTGGATCCCATGTGACCTGTTTGAAAATTTTTCGGGTATTTGTGAAAACGATAGCTTTTTATTTGTCTTCCTTTTTGAGAGAATAATGGGAATGGGAAGTTTTTGCGTCATGCGAATTATCTGATATACAAAAACGTATAAAACAAACGTACATTCAATATCCTGCATCAAAGAAAAATTCTATGCAAGGATCGATTTTTTCTCTTCATATGAAATTTTGAGGAAGAAAGAAATTCTTCGAGCTATCAATGGCTTTCATTGTTTGTAAATTTTTTATTGAATTCATATTCCACAATGCATCCCGAACAATAACTGACAGAAGAAAAAAAACTTTTGTTTCAAAATGAAATAAATGGGGTAAATGCTTTTTTAATTCATTCATTATATGCATTCATACATAAATCCCCAATAGTGTTACGAGAAAAACTGGAAATGACACAATCATTATTCAATTGAACATTCGCTGGTAATAATGATAATAATGGCATGATTTTTCGGTCCTTAATTTTTGACATTACTTTCTGATTTTCCATATTCTCGGTAAATTGCGGGTCTGTGCACGCTGGGAAAAACGGATAATAATTTTTCCTATCTTTGTGCGCGAGAATCGCCAATCTTGACCGGAACAATGATAAAGAGGTGTGACTCACGCTGTTACAAAGGGAATGCCGAAGAGAACATTCGTATATCTACTTAATTGTGATAATCTATTCTTCTTGAGTTACGTGCGGAAAAAATTAATTCTTTTTTGGTTACATGCGGAAAAAGCTTGAATTGAGGAAGGTTAATTAAATTTCCAGTCTCTTACCTGTATGCATCTGTTTTGATCATTCCTTGTTTCTTTAGGATCAAGAACGAAAATTTTTTGAGGAGCAATGTATTTTCACACAGATTTCGGGTAACAAAAAAACAGAGTGCACATTCATGCATGGGAGGAGCTTACATTAATTGAAAGCGAAGGTGTAATAGAATGGGTGGGTCTCTGATTAACTTTTTTGTGTGTAACCAATTCTGTTTTAGTTATTCCGTATCGGTATAAATGATAAATTGATTAGATTTTCGATGATGATTTGATAAATTTATTCATTGTTGAGAATTGATTTAGGAAACCTGTCTAGCCTTTATCAAAGAGTGTTAATATGTAACCCGAGTATTACGCGATTGTGTAAAAATCGGTTATTTTGTGAATGATGTAATCGTGCGAAAGTTCGGTAGATCTTTGACAAATATTATTTTAAGAAAAATAATTTTACATCAAAGAACTCTACGATTTTGTATTCTCAAATGAATTAAAAATAGGCAATCAACCAAAAAAAAACCGTCAATCTCAATAAAAATAGGAAAAATCAACATTCATGTGAGATGTGATTAATAGGAGATGTGATCAATGAGAGGTGAAGGTTGTTTAACAGCACAGTATACAATTATAGTTCCATACAGTCATACAATTAAATCTTCATACAAATCATAGTCACACCCAAAAACACAACTTCAATCGTTATCCTCTCGCCAAAGAAAGTCAGACAATGGCAAATGCAAATACATAAACATCGAAAATTTGTCCAGCTAAATAGCTACTTGATATTTAGAGCCTAAATTCCCTTAGGTAGGACAACCTATTCTTAAAAAGATTAAAATAACAATACACCATCACACGAAATAGTTCATTCGTGCAGTTACAATTTCAGTTTCTCAAGTTACTAACTTTTACACATAATCCGCAGCGCCAAATTTTTTCAAGCCTGAGAATGCTATTTGATGTCGGTCTCCTTGATTTGCGCAGTAAATATATATGGTGAGACCTCTATGAAACACCCCTCCACGAGGGTTCACATTCTGTCCGGGTGTACTTAGGGGAAAGTTGACTGTGTATCTGCGTGATTTAGAATACATAGTGCATGAAAATTCATTCATATAATGCGATAGATAATCCACAAGTGGGAGAAGGCGACTTTATTGAAAACTTAACACATGATACTTTCATTTGAAATTTACATATTTACGTTGTTTATAATAAGCAAAACTACCACAAAATGAATTGTTTTAACTTAAATGACATCATGCTATTTATCTTTGCGTATCTATACAATATAATAAATACCAATAGATGTTAAAAATAAAATTCTCGTTATCATGCTTCTACTAACTAAAAAAATCTAGACATAATCGCCATCCTCATTCAAGACTTCGAGGGACTAGCAAAAGATTCTCGTTTTTCAAAAAATGAATATTGTGAAGTTGTGCGTTGAAGATGCTCCCTTTGTTGTCGATCATCTTGACTACCAAGTCCACACGATCTCCCCTTCTTGCCAATAGTCACCTGATCTTTAAGTTTCCATTCCTTTTGGTTCATCCTTCCTGGTGAACCATTCAACTTGGAATTATATTCCTCGTCAGAAAGTTCACCCTTTTCTTGATCAGAAAGTGGAATTTTCCGACCAAATAACGCAAAAGATGCGCTTGAAGGCGAAGTGGGTAATGAACTATTGTGATTCTGTAGATTACCAGAAGATAAATGAGGAAATGATGATGATGATAATTCTGGTGGCGAGTAAGAAGGAGAAGAGGGTGCAGAAGGATAATTGAAGGAATTGGATACAGAAGAGGAAGAGGCTATTGGAGGAGGTAATCCCGATTTATATTGGGTTTGCGATGAATTAATCGAGGGCAAACCAGGCAAGGCTGAAAAAAAGGAAAAAGTTTTATTTGAAGTCATGTTTTCAGAAGGTAGATGACTGTGACTAGTTTGAGGCGATGCAGGTGGTGTTAATTGAATAGTGAAACCAGACGAGAAAGGTGAGTACCATTGATTATTATTTTCTCGATTGCCATTCGACATTGAAGCTGTAGGAGCGGGACTCATGATATTGTTGGAAGTCGTCAATAACGAAGCTGATGATGAAGGTGCATATTCGATAATGCTAGTGGAGGCAGATCTGCTACGATTAAAGGCGGTAACGTCCGCATAAGTGGATAATCGAGTTATAGAAGGATTCAAAGATGTATTCGAGATGGATTTATTACGAGATAACGATGGATGAGATGCAGCGGGCACATTTGGTCGCCAAAGAGGATCTGGCCTTTGATAATTTGGAAATTTTTTGCTGTTCTCCGGGGATGGTGCTTTGATTGGAGGTTGCGGCATCGAAGGACCATTAGAATTATGGGAAGTATAGCTTGGCATTATCCGCTTGTTATTATTACTGAGTGAAAGAAATGAACTATGCTGATTCTGATATTGAGTGAGCGAATGATTATTATTGCTATTGTTGTTAAGTTGTTGACGTGATGATTTCTGCCAAAGAGAATAACTTGTCGATTTTGAAGATTCAAATTGTTGCTGATTAGCTCTCTGAGAATCAAATGAATGAGAAGAACCATTTTGATGCTTTGATTGATGTCCGCCTGATTTGTCTTGCTTAAAGGATCTTGATTCATTTTGTTGCACTTGAGATGAGGATGTTTGTGGTGGTTGTTCTTTTTGATTATTATTATTATTATTATTCTTGCCTCTGGCTCTTTTCCGTCGCCTGCTTTTACCTGGTTTAACAGAACGCCCATCTTGATTGGAGTCAAGTCCACTTTTTTGTTTATTAGAGATGATTACTCCTCCTAAACTATTGGGATTAAGTTCTGGATGATCGTCAGAAATAATACTTTCGACTTCAGCGTCAGCATCACTTTCCTGATTATGTGAAGTAAAATGATTTGTTTCTACCTGGTGAGGAGAATTCGCAAAATCAATCAAAATCGTTGATTTGGAACTATTCGGTTGACTAAGCAAAGGAGGATTGTTGTTTGATTTTAAAGTGGATGATTTTTCATTGAATTCAACGCTACTCTTCCCCTCCGGACTATGTAACTGCGGTTCAAAGTTAAATTTCTCTTCATTCTCATAATCGGAAGATTGATTGTGCAAGACATTTTTACTTTCAATTTTTTGACGAGTGCCAACATTTATTCGTTCTTCGTTTCGAGATTGCAATGGTTCAGACACATCTATTGTAAACGTTGATTTCGATTCTTCTCTCTCAATCGGTATCGGACTATTTTCATCCGAGGTATTATGATTAACACCACCAGATGAGGATGGTAATGATGCAGATGATGACGAAGGACCATCGTCTATCAATGATAGAGTATTGGCACACTGTATTTCTCCTGGTTGTTTATGTCGAGAATTCTGACGTCGAAGTGATGCGAGGTGTGAATTTGAAGTTTTTTTATATAGTCTCGGAGAAGCATTGTGTGTAGGTAAGGATGAAGATGTTGACGAAGATGATGGCATATCAGGTGATGAACGTTTGATTTTTTCATCTGTGTCTGAAGATGTCGTAGAGTCTTGGCGCGAAATAATCCATGTATTGAAACCCGTTTTTGTAAAGTTGCCGACTATGGATCCAGCCATGTACAATCTAATTTTTCCGCTTAGCTGATGAGAATGTTGTTGCCAATCGGCATTGTTTGCTTGCTATTATTATATAAAGAAAAAAGAGATAAATAATTTTGTTAACATTCATGAACATGATCACCGATCTATCTCTTCGTCGATGTTAAATGAAATTCTATCTATCCATTTAATCTATGTCGCTGATAAAATAAGGTGCGGCATATTGGCGAATTGATAATAAAAAAAGGTCGGATAAAATTTTTTTCATTGGCCAAATTCAATTTATTACTATATGCGAGGTAAATGTGTATGCGTTCGACTGCGTTTTAGAGCTTATAACTCGGCGCGCGTTAATATCTCGATTATCATCATCATAGTCATCATACTATGCATTCAATCGATACTGTGTTTCATGTTGGTATAACATTATCGGGTGCTGATATATTCGATTTGGGAAGGAGATAACAATAAAATAATGACGACGACGACGACAAGAATGACGGCAACGATGATTATAATAATCATGACGTGCGTATAAATTGAAAAATAATGGCGTCGTTGCGAGAATTAATTACCTTATATACAATTGCCAAAGCGAATAAGATTGCCACGACGATCAACACGACGGCAGAAGACCACTCGGGTATTGACATATTGAAAAATTCGAAAAAAGAATATATAGATCGGTTTGGGCTAGCGATGTCAGAAGTTGGCAAAGAAGCCACGCGCAACGGTGCTTTATTCATCGTTATAATGGTGTTGATATGGTCCGAAGACATGTATAACTAAAAAAAAAAAAAATACTAAGAGGAATGCCAGCCAGTGCAATGCAATGAAAGAATTAGATGAAGTGTGCATATAAAGTATAATAATTAGATATCTAAAACTTTTTTCACTTCTAGAATTCAAGAATCTGAAAAAATATTATGTCTTACTTTAAAGACGCACTAAAAGAGATATCAGTCAAAAAAAAGCTGAAACGTCAGGGGTTTCGGCAAATGGGTAATAGACGTTTGGCTGCGGTATCAGATCTGACCGGCTCTTCACACACGAATCTGGAATAATTGTGTATACATGTATGTGTTGACTAAAGAAAAATTTATTTAAGGCCGAGGAATGAAGCGAACTAGTGCACAAATATAAATGGCACAAATCCAGCAGGTTTCGGCAGATTCACGTAATATAATGATTTATTAAAAGTGAAAATCAAATGATCAAAGAATATCAATCGATATTAATTAATATGAGAACGGAGGTGATCGGAGTACGATCTAATATAATACATAATTAATCCACACAATCTAATATATTAATCAGTGTATATCGCTTTGCTCTCGCGGTGGTTCATTGATATTTTAATTAATATATCTTTGATAGATAATGATAGAATGCACCGTTAATAATCGAAATATTATCATTATATGTATTTGTTATAAAAAGAAGTTTTCAGTTGGTTGGTTTGTCTGTCTATTTTACATATATACTGTCCGTCCACAATGGATTTGATTGACAATTATGGTCCTCATTTAGTTTATCATCATTTGTTTGTTCCACACCCAAGAAACTTAATTCTGAGCGATAAGCTTAATTTGTTTATGTTAATAAGAGAAAATCTAATTCTTATTTATTTATGGAAATTAAGGGATCATCAGCCAAAGATCTTTCTGTTATCATTTAGCTGGGCAAACTCAATTTATGATTCGTGATCAATTAATGTAAGCTGTTTACATCAATCACAATCTGATTTAAAGTTAATTTTAAAAAATGAACAACAGCTTGCAGGTTAATTAAGGTCAATGACAGATTATGTAAACGCGGCAAATCACAAAAAATTGTAATATATATTTTGAGTTCTCTCTTAAATCCAATCAGCTACAGTTACGGGACGTTTGATGAAGTCCCATGTCTTTAGAAGTATGAAATATCTAATAAATTGCAAATGAAAAATTTCGATTATTAATTAAATTTGCATCCACCACCAAAGTAAAGTTCAACTGATAATAATTACCTTTCCACCTATTTATAAAAAAGCAAGAATAAAAAAAGAAAATTAGCAAACATTCCTTAATAAAAATGCATGAGAGCTTCTAATGACTTTATGATAGGACTTACAGCAAAAATATACATCGTGTTTTTTCGTATTTTTCAGATGACGTTCAAGATCTGAAGTCATTTAAAAAGTTATTGTAGTTGTTTTTTTTTATTGATTCATTAATCTCTATATTTACCTATGAGTCTCTTAAATTCACGCTTACAGTAGCCACACCGAACTTTCTGAATCATATTTTGGCACCATTTGCTCAGTTTTCTTCTTGCTTTAGAAAGATCAATAAGACTGAATGTGTCATTAAGTTGAATTGCATGATTTTGATTATTATCGAATCGCTCAATAAGATTTACCCAATCATTATTGTACCCATCAATTGCAACATAATCATCCTCAAGCTCATCGTCACCAACATCGTCCAAGGGTTCATCATCATAAGACTCATCCGCATATTCATCATCAATGTAGTCCTCATAATCGTCATCACCAACGTAGTCCTCATCACCCCTATCATCATCATCATCAATAATAATAGACTCATCTTTGTCATTTTCATTATATAAATCATACATCTCGTCTTGATTAACTAATAAAATTATATGAAAAGATTTAATTGTGAGGTGAGCCAAAATCTATGAATTTTACACAATATATATTAATGATGTCTATGTCTTCTTCTGATAATATGTTGATGATGATGATTATTATTAAGTAAAAGTTGCAGACCGTTTGCTTGATTAGCAATTAAAGGCTGTGGATGTGTCGTACGAAGATTTGTTCGATTTATGAATGTATGAGTGTTTACCCGATTGGTAACGATAGGCTGACGAACGTTTGCCCGACTATGCTGGCGAGCGTGAACTGCAGGCTGACGAACAATATTCGCCTGGTTGATATGGACAAGTGGACGAACATGAATCAGAGGTAGATTAAGGTTTGCCTGACCAGCAAAGACATGCTGACGAACGTGATTTGCAGGTTGATGAAGATTAGCCTGATTTACAATGACAGGTTGACGTACGTGAATCTCAGGCTGACGTACATCATTCGCTTGACCAGGTTGACGAGCATTATTCGCTTGACGAACATTATTTGCTTGACGAACATTATTTACTTGACGAACATTATTTGCTTGATTGGCAATAACAGGTACTTGATTGGCAATAACAGGTACTTGATTGGCAAAAAAAGGCAGACGAATATTAGGTACCCGATTTGCCCCACGAGTTCGTGCCTAATAAAAAAAGACCATCATAAGACTAACGAGAGAGAGAGAGAAATATCTATGTAGTTAAAATACCTCTAATAACATATGCTCATCCCATAAATCACACTTCCTTCGGCATTTTTCAGTAATTTTATCCCAAAGGTCACCGCATTTATAACAACTAAAAAACAAATAATTCAGCCGATCCATTAAAGTGTAAACCAAATCAAAGGATTAAAATTAGAATACGTTAACTTACAATTCCGTCTTGCATCTACATGTGATATGATTGCATCCAGTATATAGTTCAACGATGGATCGGCATTTAGGACAACGCCTCCAATTCTGGTTTTCTGCCATTCTGAGAATAGCTAGAGCTTCTGGATCACGCTCATCGATGGGCAATGCTTGATAATCTTCGCAAGTATATCCTTGAATCATAAAAATCTTATTAGAAAAATACTTATTAATAATTATCTGACTTTATTATAATTTGCTCACCTGTATGCCAAGTTACTTGACATTTTGGACAAAACGTAATCCGACATATTGGACACTGGATGGAAACGTTTTCCTCTCCAGGTTGGGCATCCCAATCAATGGGAACGTTACATCGGATGTTGGGACAATACACCTAATAATCATAATAATGATTGTTAATCTTAATTTCTACGAATAGCAGTTCAGGACCATTAATCTAGAAAAAAAATACCTTATTTTCCATCAAGGATAATGCAAATTTTTCATTCCATAAAATCATCCCATCTTTACCTAAAGCTTTTTCTGCTATTTTCTCGGAGATTTCGGTTTCACAATTGAAAGGACATTTAATAGGAAACTCCACAACTTGTTCTGAAAGACGAGAGTTCAAATAATTGGTCATGCAATGCAGGCAATATCCATGAGAGCAATTTAGCACAACTCCATAAGTGGAATCGGCACTGCTCGATGCCATATAATCAAGATCCTCCGAAAATGGGAAAGTAGAAAAGTTATCAAAGCAAGTTTGACACTCGTGATTGCTACTTCGCAGAGAACTGTACGTTGTTTGATAGCTAGAACCTTGAGAATTTGATGAAGTGGCAATGTTTTTCCCCTTTCCCTTGTCTTGTTCGATAACAAATCTTCCAAATTCGGCTTTACTAGCTTCGATTGCTTCCAAGAACTAGGACAGATTTATGAAAACATAACTTTATTTAAGTCAAAGCATGAAGAATTCTTTATTTTTGAACGAGAGACGCGTAGACAGCAAGCAAAAAAACCACCTGAAGCTCTTCGGCATATTCAAGGTCACGCTATTCGAAGAAGTTGGTTAATAAAATAGAGAATGCTCTGGCAGATTTAAAGTCGATATACCTGATAAGTGGTCATTGTATCAATTCCTGCGAAATCAGGCAAATTATCAGAAGTGTGTGGAAAAGAAGTGGTAACTGGAGGTCCATTGAGATAATTCATTATTGGCGCACTTCAAAAATTTATTAGAAGTTCGTTTCAATTAATGGTCCACTGAATGATGAAATGCACTTTATACATGATTTCCCTTTATATCGTTGAGAACACGAATTAATGATAGACGATTTAGGATCTGAGATTTAACATTAGTGCCACGATTTAATAAGTTATTTCAAAATTTCGTATCCGCATTAATTAAATAATAGTATAAATTTTTACATATTATTGTTGGATGACTAACGATGTAAATTTCCCGAAAGATGGATGCATTCAAAAACCATCTTTGTATGATAATTAAACAACACAGATTCTTTTCGGTTTTAAAGAAATAAATTAATATGCTAGTATAATAATTAATTGTCGCTCCGATAGTGACGACGATGACGATGATGACGACGAAAATGGCGAAATTGTGAAACGATGATTGATTGTCAATGCTAATGCTGATTTTGATTTAAGGATGATTTTACCTTTTGAAGATTCGTCACGAATCCTTTTCGAAATCGAAATATCTCGAGTATGAAAATTTCGTCTTTGTTTGTTCTCCTCTTGAAGCGAAACTGCAATTTCCACATCAAGACTTGACTGATTGTTCCTGTAAGGACAGTCTTAAAGCTATAATATATCCAATTACTTTCTAGGTAATGCTTTTGTATTACGCCGCTTAGTTTTCGGACTTAAACCTCCAGCATCCGGTATACCTCGTTTTTCTTTCAGATTCATAACAGATACGGATTAATTTATGTCTTCAAAATTGATTAATAGAAAATTAATTGATTGCCATCACGCTTACCTGCTAAAATTGGAGATTGAGTATTTGTTTTTTGATGAGGCGATCCAATATTGCTAATATTCGATCCTGATGGTGAAGGTGTTGGATTTGGTGTTGGTGTTTGCATCTCGTTGTTCATGGTCACTGATGTTCCTCCAATTAGTTCATCGTGCTGTTCCATTTTAATTGAGTTCTCATCTTTAATTATGTAGGGAAGAATTGCTTGATTTGTTGTTTGCATTGGTAACTGTGAGGATTGTGACATTGCCATGGTCAAATCTCTGAATGCCTCTACATATTTTTAATATATTACTAAACTATCTTTTTCGAGAAATAGTTCAAGAAGGAAATTAAAGCTTACGCATAGGTCCTATACGCTTTTGCACACACTCTGTCATGACTCCTTGCATTATATCGGAACATTCTGCAAGCTTAATTAAAAAAGAAAAGAAAATTAGCATGTAAAAAGGAAATCATAATTTCTTCCGATAACAAGATAAAAATTTACGTCTAGACACCGAAACGTCCTATGCGGAATTCCATACTCGCATACGACAGACGATTCAACACCATTTGGCATATGTCTCGCAACATGAGATCGTGGTATATATTCTGTGAAATTTTTTGTGCGAAATTCAAAGCTGCTTATTTTTGTTTGTTGATTGAACATAACTATCAGGTGTCCGGAATGAACGACCTATGACAACGTATAGAAATGCGTTTAATATATTTCTAATTTGATAAAGTATTAAAAACACAATAATTCTGATGACCATGACACTCTGCCTGTGACCCATTTTCATAATGATATACCATGGAGGCTTTTGGACAATCTAACTGACAGCCATTACCCATGTCTTGCTCTTTGGGACTACCTAATATTAGCTGTATACTTGTGACGCCTGATTCAAAGAATGTATGATAGAATCTTGGTATTACTGCGTATTTTAATTCTGAAATCATTAATTAATTATAGGAATGATAAAAATCAGGTATCAGTATAGAATCTAATTAAAAAATAGAAAAGAAAATTACTTTCATATTACCAAAAGTTCTTCCTTCCTGTGGATTATCCGTTCGCTCTTTGCATAATGTGTATTTCATATAGACATCATCAGCAAAGAAAAATTGCGCAAAGACTTTCCAATAATGAATATCTGTTTTTTGATGATACTAAATATAGAAAAAATCAATCAATCTATAAATAAAAAACAAAATATTTCATTATAAAGATTTTTTATCACTTACTATACCCAATACATTCCTGTCGCCCCCTAGATATTCACCAAATAGTAAAAGCCGCATGATAAATCCACCAGGGATTTGTCTTGAAATAATAATCAAAAGTGCATCAAGTTCAGTATCTTTATATACGTACGAGATTTCAAATCACTCAAAAAAAGTCGTTTTATCGTTGCTATTAAATATTCATTTAACTAGGACGTACTTGAAACCGTTGCTTGGCACCATACGCATTGTTGGAGGAATAGAAATCGGGATTCTAGGATTATTTGCCAATGCCATTACACTAGCAGGCATATAATTGGTTGGACTAATTGACTGGTGAACACCTGCCTGCGCCGGAACTAGCTGTGCAGGTGTTGTAATCACTCTTCGTTGGTTATGAATGTTAAAGAGACTTGGCATGGCTAGATTAGGTTGCTGCATATATCCAGCAGGATTAAAGCTGGCCATTTCGGATTTAATGGTATATTATTATTATTATTATTATTATTATTATTATTATTATTATTATTATTATTATTATTATATAAAAAAAGTCAAGTAGATATAAAAAAAACGGACAGCCCACAAACAAAAAAGTGGGTTTTTTATCACGACGGAAAAAAGGGGGTCGACGATCTGATATTTTAACAATGATCTTCAATAACGTAATGTACAAAACGGTAAAATTTAGTAAACTAGTCGTGGGCAGAAAAATTCCTCGATCCCGTGAATTTGCGTTGCACGTTGCTTTTGCGATTTCTATATTTTCAATTTGCGTCATCGTAGTCAATTCCCATCTTTGGGAAAACTACTGTGCGCTCAATAATGACATCATCGACAGAATGCATTCATTCTTTTGGATTTGATTAATATAATACAAGTGATGTGTAATAAGAGATATAAATACTATCTATAAATGGTAATAATGAAAATCTATCAATTGTATAAATGTCTTTCGATTGATTTACGAACAATAATAAAATCGAGCAATGAATTTTCCTATTATGCAATAATTATCGTATCTTATGTCCTCCTGCGAATTGATGTATTCTCGAGTCGATATTTTCGAAGTTCTTTTGTATGATCTGGCATTTCAGCTCCCCATCCTGGAAGTCTTACCACCTATAAAACAAGAAGCAGATCGATCTAAATTAAAGTCGCTAGTTAAAAAAGACTTTATGAATTAGTTTTTTTTTCTTACCATAGCAGTAATGTTATCTTCTGATCCAAGTTCTTCTGCAAAAGCGACTAATTTTGTCGCACCCAAAGTCGGATCAGTATGACTTTTAACCTATGATGCGCAAAAAATGCATAAAAGTTAATTATCATAAAAGATTTTTCCTTTAAATAAATCAACTCGATTATTTTGAAAATTTACTGACACAATCAACAATTTCTTGATTACTTAATACCGAAGTAACTCCATCAGAAACTAAAACTAGGAATGCGGCATCTTCACCTTTCATCTTTTTATTAACTATATCTGGCTCTGCTGTAATACCAAATTTTTTCAGCTTTGAATCACCCAAAGCGCGAGTATTTGCTAAGCTTCCGAGAAACATTTCAGCACCAAAAGAATCAGTGATTACATATCCTCCCGATTTTCTTAGACGATCATGTTCCGTTGTTGCGCTTGGATGATGATCATGGGATAATGATATTGCTTTTCCGGTAGGCACATCACATAATATAACTCTGGTATCACCAACATGAGCAACTGTAATATCGAGTTCTTTGGTAGACCAAAATGGAAAACGATCCAATGATTTCACAATGGCTACGGAAGCTGTTGAACCAACTGCTTGACCAATTGAGCCTATCAGTTCATAATCAATTTTCAGAAAGGCTAATGTAAGTCTTTGTTCTAGTGTAAGATTTGGTGTTGGTGGAATTGACGATTTTGTTGGTAAAGGCTGAGTTTCAGACAGTGACGTTGAAGAAAAATTTCTCGTTACCGATAAATTACTATTGCTATTATCGTGAGTTTCAGGTGATCGATATCGAGAATTATTAACTAACTCGGGGCTTAGTAACGGTATCAATGTCTTTGGTTTAAATCTGCGAAAATAACTATAAGAAAAATTTAAACTTTATATTAAATATACTTTTGATTTATATTATTATACCAATATCCTAACTTACCCTCCAACACTACGCCATGAAGAGACAATTCCATCAGCATCCAATGCATTAACTTTTTCAACATGATTATGAAGATTCTCTGTAAGATAATCCGCGCATAACGACCCACCATGACTATTCATGATGCAAGTTAGTTAGTTAGTTGATCTTAATTTTCAAGTACATATAGATTTTTGTTAAAATAGAACTGTACCCATCAAAAATAGCAAAATAACAAATCTGTCCAGCTTTCCCTTCTTCCAATTGAAATTCATCCACCGGTATACTAGTTTCATTTACCACAGGGAACTTGTTTATATTCCGCTCTTCCCCCTTTTCTTCGAAATCTAATACTACCGCACGGTATCTATCTTCATTGTGTTCTCTTGTCCCTCGCGAAGAACTGTAAGTGGATAATTTCACAAAAATTAGACACATTCAGGAGATAGCCGAGAATCTTATTTTATAATGCTCGGTTACTAACCTGATACCAACCAAGTGCCTCGATTTCTCGAGATGCAAACGATAGGTTTCACCTTTACTCGGTGATCTAGCTGTATAATAATTTTGTGATTTTCTGGGCAAAGAGATACAAAAATGCCTAAAATGTGTTGTTTTTGTTGACTGAAACGTAAAAGAAACAGGGCAAAGGAAGGGAAAAACTTTGCAAGGAGATTTATTTATTTTACGGTACCACATACTAACAGTGGATATTTTGAATTTACGAATGCGTAAAAACAAGCTACGAAAAATGAGATACACGATAAATTCATTGTTGAATTAATATTGCCACCGAGGTATAGCCATTTAACCAGATCAAGTATGTTGTACTAAGATACAATGTTCAAAATAAGATAAAAGATAATTTAAATAAATATTATAAATTTAATAACGATAACCCAATTCTCGATTTGCCAAGACCCCAAATATAAGAGGTTTGTATTACTTTGATTTCAGATAAGTATTAGTAATACTACGACTTTTCGTTAAATATAGTTATTTCAGTCTACTTTGATTTGTCAAATTGCATCATAGACTTCCATTATAAGAATAGCAGTGTTTTTTATATATTCAATGTATAAATTATATTTGATTTTGTCAACTATACATTATAAGTTGTAGTAATTTATTATTTTAACTGCCTTCAATTAAAGTAATTTTTCATCTATTAATTAGGCAAAGCAATTTATATATACTTAAAAGAATGCAACAGAATCAAAGATATTAACAAAACATAGAACTTTCTATATTAAAGTCTTCAATTTTATTATATATTATGCGATATTTCTATATAAAAAATTATAGTGACGTTCATAATTATAAAATTAGATCATCAATTTTATTAATAATAAAAATTGAAATTTCTCTTAATTGAAATTTATAGTTTTATTAAGAAATAATTTTTGTTTTTATATTAAGCAAGTAAAATCAATATTTAGTTTAAATCATATATAATTTGTTAAATATAAATTAATAATATTTATCAGTAAATTAATGTTTTGTTTTTAACAAAATATCATTTACTCATGTTATATAAATGTCCTATTAAATATTATATAGGTTTTCTTACTTTATTTATTCATATATTATATAATATATTATTTGATATATTGCTACATAATAAATTTTTTCAAGAACTAATAACTAAGATCAAGTAATAATGAGCATAACTTATTAATTTAATTAATATTTTTAATAAATATACAAAGAAATTAATTAATTAATATTTCCTATAAAAATTATTAATTTATAATATTAATTATTATTTATTATCTTTTAATTTATTAATTATATAATTAATTTAATTATTCAATTTTATAACTAAAATATATTACTTTTATATATTTTAGAAATTTAATAAATATTATTTTATTATAATTTTAATTTAAATATTATAATTTAATTATTAATTTAATTATAATAGTTATATGAATTATAATAATTATATTAATTATACTAGTTTTATTAAGATATAATAATTTTGCTATAATTAAAATATTTTTATAAATATTTACTAATAAATTCTATCTTAATTATTATTTAATAAAATTATAATAAATAATTATTTAATAAAAATGCAAATATAAATTAATTAATAAAAAATAAATATAAATTATTTAATAAAAATATATAAAAAATTTATATTAAGAATAATAATAATAAAATAGTATTTTCTTAGCTTACTAATTTCTATTACTTTAATTTGATTTGAATTAAAAGAAAACTTATAGATATACTT